TATGTATGTGTGTGTGTGTGTGTGTATATATATATATATACACACACACACACACACATACATATACATATACATATACATACACACACACACACACACACAGAGGTTGCCAGAAGCCACACTCCAAAAGAAGGGTTAGGGTGCTATAGATATATTATTCATACAAATTGCCTGCAAAATAAAGCACCCATTTAAAAATGGATCTCTCTCTACCTGTATCAACCATTCTCATTCTCTCTCTCCCTCTCTCCCTCACACACACACACATTCCTTTCTCTCCAGCAGAAACAGCATAAGTGAAAGAAACACCCTCCCCCCAGGAATAATGGAATGAGACAAACAGATGACTGTAAGAAGAGGAAGGAAAGAGAAAGCAGGGATGGAGATAAAATGAGGGGGAAAAGGTAACTGGACAGCAAAAGAAAAAAAGATAAGTCCTGTTTAAGTGTTACTAAAAGATTAAATTAACCAGGCAAATGGCCGTACTCAAACAGCTGTTTATCTTCAACTTAAAGAGCAACCACCAGGTTTTTTAGCAGGGATATCTGCAGCCTTATTCACTTTCTTTTCCTTCAGGTGGCAGCACCAAGCTGACCTGAGCTGATCCTGAAGAAAGCTAAGCGGGGTCAACTCTGCTAGCACTAGGTTGGAAGACCACCACCAACTCCCAGACCATGGTTGGGCTGTGAAGTCAACACCTTTCCTAGGTAAATATTTGGGGGGGGGGGGAAACCTCCCCATATTCCTATTCAGTAAGTCTTCAGGCAGTTCCCCAAAAAGCTGAAAAACAAGCATATGAAATCTTGGATTGATATGTTAATTCATTATTTCCTTTTTTAAGGCTTGGCTTACAAGTAGGGATGCACAAAACTTACAATTCTTGGAAGACTGAAATGTTCCACTTTTCTTTTAGACCACATCAAAACGGCCATTCTGGGGGTGATCCGGCAGTTGAAAATGTGCATCTGGTGTAGTTCAGAAGAACAGAACATCCTGTTTTTCCCTCAAATGTTGCCTCTGAATGGTAAGTTTTTCACATAACTATTTATAAGCCAGTTTTCTTTCCAGAGTGACTTCCAACATGACTAATACTGTACAGGATCAATATTAAAAATAACCCCGTATTTCTGATACAAAACAAGCAACCCTCTGCAAATGTATGTCAAAACAATGGATTAAAATTCATAAAAAGTGATTCAGCAACTCCAAATGGTACAGTAACAATCACATGCAAAAAACAGATTCTTACTTTTCAAAGCTACAAATACATTCCATAAATAGAATGAACAGAATCAACATTATGAAATCCATGAAAACAATAAAAACACTAATAAAACCAAATAGTTTGTATGTTCATAGGAAAATTACTCTGATCCTGTCTGGGAGGTGTTGTATGAAGAAAGCTGGAATGCAGGGTAAGACAATGATACACAGATGCATTTTAAGATAAATTCAACTTTTATGGTTTTTGCATATATGTTCAGATCTTTTCAGTCCAGGATGCTGTGAGAGATACAGCACAACTTGCTTTTTAAAACACACAATCTAATGAAAATCAGCATAACAGGCAAATATTTCTTATTACATGTAGTTGTGCAGACATTTGATACATACAATCACTTTCACAGGTAGCTTTGTGAACTGCAAGTATATACTGATATGCAAGCTTGCTCTTTGGCACTTATATTCCATCTATACAAGGTATAACACTGGCACTTTTCAAGAATAAAATAGTTGAATAAGGATGATTTTTCTACTTTCTAAAAAGAAACAGTATTCTGGTACTGAATTTTTCATGTACATGCTTTACAGCCCTTGCAATTACTAGAGTAGTACATTTACACATATAAACAGAGATCAAACCCTACTCCCTTCTAGCACTGAAGATGTTACCTAGCCAGGTAACGAAACGTCTGCAAGAAAACAACCAAGCTCAGAGAACCCCAAGGGCTCCACATGTGTGCACATGCATTTTTCTCAGCTGAACAGTAACAGAATAAGAAGCAATTCTCTACTGGTATTAAGCAAGATTGGCATTAAGCAAGATTAATACCAGTTTGCAAAAACTTCCAAATAAATACGAGGTGGTAGTCTTAGATGATTTCTTGAAGAAAGCTAAGACATCTTAAAATGTGAAATGTCAATATTTCGGTTACTCTTTTTCTTGAATCCTTACATGTTCTTGCCTCTGTAGAACTAAAAATAATTAAGATGCTGGAATTCAAGATATTGCTAATATAACAGTTGATGATCCAGAAAACCACTATGAGAGAGACAGACACAACAGTTCTTCGTTCAGACCCCAGTGTCAGAACCAATTTCTTATGAGGGCAAAAATGGGTATATTAAAAGAGAGTAGGAGAGAAAGCCTTACTGGGGAGGAAAGTTCTACCCATATTTATCTACATCTGGCTACATGTCTTTTAAAAAAAATACTTTTGTCCTTTAAATACAATGAAGGCATCCCTCTAAAACAAAGTTTCCTGTTAAATTACTTCTTCAGATGTTAACTTGATATGTTGTCAGAGGGAAAGGGGAGACAGGCACCATCATAAAATAAAAAGTGATTGAATCTTTCAAAAGGTTTAACACATTTGTCCCATTATTCCCCAATTAAAAGTCACAGCTGTATGTCCTTCCAATTAAAATAACAACAAAACCCAAATCCTCAACTTACAGAATATGCAACCCAGGCAAGTGATTGATTGAAAATCTGCCATGTGTGAACTCAGTTCATGACTTAGTCATGGCTGGACAGATGTTGTGCAAGCATGCATTTCAGTGAGGACCAGCCTGACAGTTGCCAGGGACAGTAACAGCATGGCTTTTATTCAAGAGGAGGTGGGATGTGTGCGTTTGAACCAACAGGTTCAGAACCACATCCAAAAGAAATGTAGGCAGAGCTCAGTAAAACAGTGTGGAGGAAGAGTATTTCCAGAGAGGGCAAAGCCTTGAGTCAGTGCTGAGGGTCAAAGGGTATTTTCGGTCTGACTTCCAAATACTTGGGAGAAAAAACCAAAAGCCAAGCGGACATGGATGGGAACGAAAACATAGGCAGTGTACACCACCATAGCAACAACAGTAATTGTGATGGTATGGAACACGGATCGTTCCCACGGCTCCAGGACGTAAATGCAGGTGACCAGGAGATACTGGAAATATAGCCAGTAAATGTAATCTTTAATTTGCTTCAGATCCATTGTTGGCTCAAATGTCAGGAAACCTGATCTGGTAACAGAAAACAGACAATGCAGAAACATGGTGAAGAAAGAAAACTGATTATCTGGTTATCAGTGTTCTAAAAAAAGCAGAAATCCTATCACTTAATGTAATGCCAAACTAATGCAGAGCTGCATTAAAGAAACAAGCCCGCCATTAATACAGCAAGTCAGGAAAGAGACATGGATAGAAATCTCTGTCTTTACATCTCAATGATGCTGTACAGCTCCTCTTTTCTATTATGGGAATGGCTATGCCATAAAGTAGCAGGTGCCCTGGACCACCACTGGCTTTGAAACCCCTATCATTTTCTCCCCCTCAGCAATATTTGGTGAATGAATCACTGCTATGCAAGGTGGAAACATCCAGGGATGCTGAGTCTGAGCCTCTCCTTCCCTTAGTGCTTGCAGTGTGCAACAGTTTCTGCTGCAATTTAGGCCAGAGGAAGCATCACCAATGTAAGGTATAAGAGATGCTCCCCTTCAAGATAGGGAGTTTTTCCATTCAATATTCAATTCCATTTCAAATATTTCTGAACTGATCTTACCTCTATTGTACACAGTAAACTGGAATGATGGAAGAAAGAAGGCATAGTTAATGACCAGTTTTGTCAAAGCAACTGGAAAGAGCCATCATTGATAAAGGAAATTTTGGAAGTGAACTTCTACCAATCATTTCAGTAGTGAAAAAAGATTTCACAAAGTCACTCCATGGAAACATATATGTAAACAAATATATGTAAACATACATATAATTTTTTTTCTGGTGCAGTATGGATGTGCCTTCCAGGATTTTTTTCATAAGTCTAGACTAGAAACTCTGAGGTTCTGTGGTCTCCCATCCACATAGTAACCAGGTCTGATGCTGCTTAGCTTTTCAAGAACAGCCAAAGTCAACTAGGTGCTGCCACTTGCTGGAATTCAGTGGAGAATGTAAAACTAATGAATGCAGGGTAAAACCTGCATTAGCATTCTACATGTACAGTATTATGGGTTGTTTTTTTTTAATGAGGATTCGGTACCTTTCAGGAGTAGGACTTGCAGGAGAGAATGGAATTCCTGTCAGGGAGATCTTGAAGAGACTTCTTTGCCTAAACAGGACACAACAAAATAAATTGATTTGCTAGAGTACTCCTTCTCTGAGTCCAAAAGAATGGAGTCAACTGAAGCTGTGAGGTAAGATGTAATGAGAATGGAGGCTGCAAAGATATAGTGTGTGGGTGAAATTCAGAACTGGCAGGATCAGGACTTCTCCAGCAGAGGAATTAGAGACCACATTTGGAGGAGATACCCTGCATACATTTTTGATACTTTCCCTTTGCCCTTCCTCAGTGTTGCAACTGAGATTCTTCCCTGCACATCTTGGGAATCTGTCTCCTATTATCCTGTGCTGCAGACCAGGATCTTTGAACAGAACTCATGACCACCCCTTCTTGACTGCTCCTTGGGATTAGAGGAGAACTACTATGGACTGGCTTGGATCCTGGAACTCCCAAATAGAATCTGCCCATTCTGCATGGTCTACTTGGGAGGAAATGCTTCAGATTCCTGCCCTGTATGAGATCAGAGTGATGACCCTGCTGTGGTCCTGTCTCTGCAGAAGAGTTTGCTATCTCTTCCTCTCCTCCCTTGGTTTAGATTGGTTGCTAAGTTTTAGGAAAGCAAAAGTATTAGAAAAACGTTTTTGTTCTGCTACAATTTTGGATTAGAAATTGGGTTGTGGAGCTATTTTGAACTGGGACGTATAAAAATATTTGTAATAAATCCTTTTACATGGGAATTAATGGACCCAAATTAAGGATTTATTCCCACAAGATGCGAATTGTATAACTTCTTGCATCAGATACATCCTTTATCAGACACACAACTGCATAATGGACTAAGTCTTCCATACAGTGGCATTACAATAATGGAATACTAAAGACCATCTGATATTTATGTTATGTATATTATTTATTGTTTTCAGGCAAAAATACTTGTATTTACCCAATTACTTTAAACAATAAAGTTTCACAAAGTGCATACTCATCCCCCACCCCATGCTTTACTATCCTGTTTTTAACATTCCTCAAAATATTCTTCCTGGAGCAACATATAATGGAAAACCTGAAAAGCAGCTTCACCTTCTCCCATCAAGACCAGTTTTTCTAGCTTATTTGATACTTAGCATATCTAAAACTGGTTCAGTCTGTAGAGATAAAGACAGAGACTTCTTCCCAATGGGAAATCCCATGTTGTGATTACTGCTTGGCCTTCTCCTGAAGCCTATTCCATCTGTGCTAATACTGCTACCCATACAGCTGCCCAAGACCCATAATATGCATTACACGGAGATCTTTGTTTAGATCCCCAAACATTACAAAAACCGTTCAGCACAATGATGTCATATGAGGGTTGGAGTTTAATCAAGAACAGCAGCAAGGGAAACAGTAAACGTTCCTCTTGCCATTTTCTCTTACTGAAACAGCCCATCTGTTTCCAAGAAGTTATTAGATATTCTTATATGGGCATCTATAATACATTTCTCTTTAAACTCCAAGTGGATGGGAATCAATTTTGACTAGGTTTACCGAAAGGGTTAGCCTCCTGCACTGTCATTACCCCTGATCCAATCCCTCCTGCCCCATCCCATTTTTAAAGAAAAAGCATATTAATTAGAGAGCTTTATATTTCATATATTTTGTCCAAAAGATGTGGAGGAGTAACCTAGTTTTCCTTTATTGTAGGAAATGGTCATTCTTATGCTCTTCTTTACTCTTATGTATCCGTATTTGGCAGTATATGTACAGGATCTGGTCTCTTTTATCAGAATGATGAGAGCAAGGTCACTCTGAAGGGTCCACCCCTTTGGGGCATGCATGCAACATTGTGACAGACACAGAAAAGGAATTGCCACTTTTGTCAGTCTCACCCCTCTTATAACTTTCAAAGACACCATTGTCTTGATCTATTCCCCACCACGGTTCACTTCTCAATGGCAATTCTGGTAAATTCTGGACATTGGTTGCCTGACAAATTGGCATATAAGTAGGAAGAACATGTCAGTCACCACCATAATTTGCTAAAAAGTGCCTGGTTACAACAATGTGTGGTATACAATACAGTATTAAAAATCAGAACCAGGGTTTTGATCACATAGTGATGTCCACATTTTGATCTTTTTGACAACCCCTGCCCCCTGTGGATACCCCTGAAAATAGATATGCACAGAGTGGTCAAGTAACTGTAGTTCTTGTTTAGAGACCACAATTGGGTCCGACAACTTGGTTGCTAAGTGAAACTGCAACTATGCTTGTGATCTTACTTTAGCTTTCCTTTAATTTACAGACCTGGGAAGGTCGTAAATGTGAGGATTGGTCATAAAGTTGCTTTTTCATCATTGTTGAAATGCTGAATGGTTGCTAAATAAGGCAGTTGCTAAACAAGGACTACCTGTACGCAGTTGTAAATATTCCCTGTCAAAGATTGTACCCACAGGAAACTGGATCTGTTGGCTTGCAAAAGTAGCCAGTATTATATAACCCTAGTAATGGTGACATCTCCACATTTTTTTTCATGAAATTTCTTTTAAAGCAATGAACACAGATATGAATAAACATTTCTATTCCTAAGAGGAAGTGGAGAAGAAAGTTACTCACATGAGAATTTGAATTACTGATATGTATGTACTGAAAATGCATGGGAACGTAAGGAACTTAGCCGCAAGGCAAATTTAGTACTTTCTGGAAAACTTTAAGAAAAAGATATTAAAAAATAAATAAATGAAGGTCTTTTTCTTGCTCCATATTCAATGTTTTTACTGAAATTTCTCCTGTGCTAGCATTCAAATTCAGAGGGGGAAAAAACATTAAAAATATGAGGACAAGCTCTGATGAACAACTTGATTCTTCAACCCATATACAGTAATATTTTTATCAACTTTCTGGTCCCTGTTCTTTCCTTTCAGTAAAATATAGCACTATTTGGGGATATCATGTGTTTCTTAAGTCAGTTAAGCTTCAGACAGCAAGATTTTTATCTAAGGGCAGTTTATATATACTAAAGTGTATAGAAAGTTTATATATACTGTGTGCACATATATACTAAGTATGTGTATATATATATATATATATATATATATATATATATATATATATGCATGCACGCACGCACGCATACACATAATCACAGGCACACAGCCAAGGATTACGGTTTAGGAACATGGGGTTCAGGATTTATTGATTCAATAATTGGTCTTGTTTCCCAGCCTGTTACCATTCCCGATGCAATATCCCAGGGTCTTTCATGTAATATTATACATCTGCTTAAGGAATTATCATAGTTCATAAAGGAAAAATATCACTTCAAAACAAAAATGATACCATCTAGTCACTGAATACAACAATACTGTAGTTTACGAGCAGCTCAGAGACAACCCAGTGAGGTACTTACTGTACAATATTCCAAAAGTCCACCTACAGAGGAGTCATAAACAGAAAGAATTCAGGGAGTTATGATACATTAAAAAGAACTTGGTATACATTTTAACCTTTTCTTCTTCATGAAAAGAAAACAACACTTCTTCTAGCATGGTAAGATACATTCCACAAAGGTTCTGTATTTTCACTGGATAAATTTTATCCCTTTAAGTTATTGCATAAGCCACTTGCTTCACATGTTCTCCTTACAGGAAACGCATTCTGCAGACCACTGTCTGTTGAGGAACAGCCCTCCCCCAACTGCAATACTTGGCAAGGAATAGCATCATGGTTACTGAAGGTTCTTGAGCACCGTCTGATGAACAGACAAGGCTCACTAAAACTTGAAGATGATGGGGACTGAACTAAACATTCTTCATGCACTTTATCAGTATGCTATCGTTTTTCATTATTCACTTATACAGTATGTAATAAATCGTTGTGTACCATAGAGGAAAGCAATTTTTTTTATGGTGTCAGCCTGTACTTTTTAAAAATTGATCTCTTGGGTGTAACACTGACACTGCTGCAAGTGGTGGAACTGAAACTCATTCGGCATTTGATTTGGGTGGAAGATTTAGGGCAGGACTGGTATATTACATCTTGCAGAGTCTTAATGCACCCATTTTATCCCCTCCCCTATTTTAAAGTGTGCTATTAGAAATCAGTTATTTCCGCCTGAATTTTAGTGGTGTTTGGTATTAGGACACTCCTCCCACAAGTCCTGCTATGCTGTCTCATCCTGGAGGAAGTGGGGATGTTCCTAGGAGGGATGAGAGAAAAATAGCCAGGAGTGTACACCAAGAGTATTTACTCCCACCCAAGCATGAAGGTTATTCCAACTGCCTAACTAAACCAAACAGGTAACTATATCAGGCAACATGCTATTGAATAAGAGCTGATTATCTTTGGGAGTAGTAATGGTGTTTCTAATGCAGCTTGATTAAAGCCTTTGGAACATCTACTTGCTGATGCTGCCATGCAGGAAAACAAAATCTGAAGCCGCAAAGGAAGAATTACAAGGCAATATGGAATGTAACAAGCTTTGAACATGGGACAGCTAAACAGGGTGAAATATGGGTTGACTATATATTGACATCTTGGGTATCTGTGAATTGAAATGGACTGGAACTGAACAGTTTCAGGCAGATCATGCTGTTTACTACTCAGGACATGAGAAATAAAGAAGAAAAGGCTTTGCTTTCATAGTCAGGAAGTATATAACAAAGACAATACTTGGACACAATGCAGTCAGTGACTATATCAATTAGACTTTGTGACAATCCTTCAATATGATGGTTATCCAACCACTGATGTAGAAGAACAGGAGGTAGATGTGCTTTATGATCAAATTCAATCTGAAATTAGCAGAACACACAAGCAAGATGTGCTGCTTGTAATTGGACAATGGAATACCACAGCTGGGAACAGTAAGAAGGAAAATGTGTTTGGACTATGTAGCCTAGGAAACAGAAATGAAGCAGGAGAATAACTTATCAGTTTTTGCCAATTCAGTGATTTTTTTACATTGCCAACACATCCTTCAAATAATCAAAGCAATGCCTGTATACATATATTGTCAGATGGAACACCCAGAAATCAAATTAACTATACTATTAGTACAAGAAGGTGGAAGAACTATGTAGTAACAGCAAAATGTGGCCAGGTGTTGATTGTGGAACAAACTGTGGATTGCTCATGTGCAAGTTGCAAGTCAAGCTGAAGGAAAGAACAAAGACAACTGGTTTTCTCAAAGTGATCTTCTGGAGAACATCAGAAATTGCTTTGATGTCTTGAACCTTACTGGCAAGGAACCAGAGGAACTGTGGAATGAAATCAAAGAAAGAAATTGCCTAGAATAAAGAGAAGACATACTGTAGCTCAGAAAGACAAAGTTTTCAGGAAAGAACTTAACAATGAATTTTAGAGAGCTGTTTGAAGAGTCATGGAATAGTACTACAACATATGTAAAGACATTGAAGATGGACACAAAAGAACAAGGAAAGATTTCCAAAAAATCTCTAAACTCAGAAGAAGGCTGCAGTCTTGAACTGATATGCCAAAGAATGCCAATGGACACATTGTAACATTCAAAGAAGACCAAACAAAGATGGAACGAATATACTGAAATTCCAATAGAAGCGAACATGTGTAGCTCAGTGTTGAACTGTGGAGTCCTTGGGGTTCTCTGAGCTTGGTTGTTTTCTTGCAAATGTTTTGTTACCTGGCTAGGTAACATCTTCAATGTTAGAATGGAATGGGATTTGCTCTCTGTTTATGTGCTGTGGTCTGCCCTGCCAGTGTTGGTGGGGGTGGGGGTTTTGTTTTGTTTTTTTAATTTTTTTTCCCCCTCTGGTAGTTCCTTGATTAGGGTATTGTTTACTGCTTGATTGTATGTCTGGTGGTAATCTC